ATAGCTTCCACCAAATCCACCAAAAGCACGAACCCTTCCGGTGGTGACACAGAGCTCATTGTGCGACAGGGTCATAGCGCCAGACAATTTGAATCGGATGTTTCTCTGTGGATCTTCTTTTTATTTCTATACATATTTAGTGCGTATTGTGGTAAGGGGTCCCTTACTAAGTATACTAGTATGCCCAGGTCTAGTTTATAAGTCCGGTGACGTAGGTTGAGATCGGCATAGCTCGTGGAGAAGTAAATCAGGGCAGGAAAATCCAGAGGGCGATCACCCCAGAACGAAAGCACTAGGATTTGCTTCCCGAAATAGATCTGCCCTATATGAAGTACTATATGTGGAGTCTAGGCATGAGATGAGGTCATTGTCATAGGGAGATGGAATTGTCATCACGCCAATAGTATTTAGCATAATAGTTCGATGTGCCTATGTACAGCACATAGGTGATGGTGACGAACTAGAACTGATCACCTGGGTACCATCTTTGTCGGGGTCTGTCTTCCGGCCATTCACATTCCACAAAAGCCGTTTGAACCCGTGCAAACCTGGAAAATCAGGCGCCACAGCGGGCCTTTTATGGAGTATGCAAGTCATAAAGAAGATAGAGATATGAGAAGATGGAATGCGAGGAATGCAACGTTTAGGTATCACATTTTGTACGGGTTTAAAATCCATGTGATCTGGTATAAAGTCCCCTAAATATGTCAAATGAGGCCAAAAGAGGGCGCAATTAAAAAGGTCCCCCGCATCTAAGCCTACCTCGGTAGTCTCAGTTTTCTAGACCAGACAGGCCAAGATCACCTAAGAGCAGGGCGTTAGCACTGCCCGATTGAAGCTGTGAAGTCGTTTGTATAGGCCGTGAGATCCGAGGATATTATAACTCTAGACTCTAGATGGAGTGTTTCTCCACAAATATCGGGAGAAATGCCGAATCACCCGTAAACTGTAGAGATGGTTAGAGACGTATGGCCCGGATCGCCGGATATGAGACCCCCCAACTTTCTCAATGGTGTTGTCATCGGGTTCGGATTTATGCTTCTTTGGCTCTTTTTCCTCTCTTCCGTGGATCAGGGTTCCTTTTAGTTTTTAAGTAGTTCGCCTTCTAACTATATTCATCTTTTTAATTCCCTGCGCCACATTACGCCTTGCCAGAGCCAAATCATAAAGGCAAAAAGAAAGGAAAAGGGAGCCACAATTCTCCAACCCTAGTAGCCAATCCTACACGTTCAAATAAAGATCTGCACGATGATCAGAGTGGAGGACTTATGAAGTCAGCACCCCCGAGAATTCCATCTTCCTACATCAGTCTCCTTGCGTGAAGGGATTCAAGGGATCAGGAAAAAAAAAATAAAAAACATCGCACAAGATTAAAGATCGAAGGTAAGTTGAGTCTGTCCTACACATTCCCTGCACTTTGTATTCCCTTTCTCGGAAGGACCATTCTTGTCTTTGCCCAATTTGGCGACAGCGTATCCAAGGGATATACAGCATACAATTTTGGAACTTCTCCGGGATGCTCAGCGCATTAATATCACGATGATGGGTGCTAATACCCTCCCTCTGCCAGCGCAGTTGTCTTCGCGGTCGGCCTCCAGTAACCTCACCCCGCAGTCGGAGTTCACAGGACCCCCGTCGTTAGGAGTATCAATTTCCAATCTCATCATACGATCGGCTCGTCGCCACACGGTGTGTATCGAAAATCAGCTCTCTAAGCGGAGTCATCGGGACTCAATCCTCAAAAAGCTGGCGGGTCCACGTGAGAACGTAAAGCGATTCCTTCGCTTGCGGTCGTCTGGAATTCAAGCGCCTTTGCAACGTCCTGCCCGTGGTGTACGACCAGTCTCGGAGATTATATTGCCGCCGATATCGGTCGACTTGGAGGACGAGATGCGATCGGATTCGTCATCTACCGAGGTGCTGCCTCGCCCAGTACATGAACACCACACTGTGACTACCGATCCTACCATTCCATTTACTCCCTTGAGAAATGAGAAGATTGTAGCCACCGGGAGTGGCATTTCTGTTGGTATTGCCCTCACGGAGCCCGTTCTTTACTTGCAGGGTTATGATCAGCAAGACCCAAGCAGTAAAAAGTCCGCAATTCTGCGGGGACAAATGCATTTGAAGGTTACCAAATGTGTCAAGATCAAGAAGATCTCGGTCTGCTTCCGCGGCCATGCTCAGACGGATTGGCCAGATGGTTAGAATCTGCAGCATAACATTTTACTTTCAACACGAGCTGACATTGTTCAGGTATCCCCCCTAAGAAGATCCACTTCCATGACAAGAAGGATCTCTTCACACATGGTGTGGTCTATTTCAATCACGGTGACACCGCTCTCATGCAGAATGACTATGGGGCGCATTACTATCAGCATGCCAAACCGATATCATCCGTACCGGGCAAGGAAGGAGTGACAATGACAACTCGAGAGCTATTTTCCAATCGCAATTCTGCCGCCACACTCGCTCTACCAACTTCCCGAGAAGTCAAACGCCTTTCTCTACAGACCAACCGCGGGCATTCACGCAGCTTCAGCAAGAACGAACCCCCGATTTCCCAACCCCAGCCACAGCGAAATTACCGCATGTTCCCCGTAGGCGATTATTTATACAGCTTCGAGTTCCCAATCGATGGATCATTACCAGAGACAATCAAAACGGATCTGGGCTCTGTGAGATACGACCTGGAAGCAATGGTGGAACGAGCAGGCGCATTCCGACCTAATCTCCTCGGCGGCATGGAAGTCCCCGTGATTCGTACCCCTGCAGAGGGTTCATTGGAGCAGGTCGAGCCGATTGCGATTTCACGGAACTGGGAAGACCAGCTCCACTACGACATCGTCATCTCGGGGAAGTCATTCCCGCTGGGCTCGCAGATCCCGATTGCGTTCAAGTTGACCCCACTAGCGAAAGTAGAGTGCCACCGAATCAAAGTCTTCGTGACGGAGAATATCCAACATTGGACGGCAGACAAGAGCGTGCACCGGTTGCAACCAGCGAAGAAGGTTTTGCTTTTCGAAAAACGAGCAGACTCGGCCAGTGTGAGCACTTATCCCGGCAGCTCCATGCGTGTCACCGCAGGCGGCGGTATCGACTGGGACCACCGCGCTGCTGCCGCAAGGGGGCAGGAGATCGTGGATCGGAATCGGACAAACCTTCTAGGCAATCTATCTTCTGATTCCGGTGTCGGTCCAACTGAGATGGAATTCAACGTGCAGCTGCCAAGTTGCCACGAAATGAAGGGCCGAGACGAGGGTCAGCGGCTGCATTTCGATACCACATGTGAGAACATTCAGGTCAGCCACTGGATCAAAGTATGTCAAACCGTCTTTTCTTCTTTCTTCGCGTCAGAATGATACTAACCGATTTACGCAGATTGTCCTCCGTCTATCGAAAGTCGACGAAAGAGATCCCACAAAACGAAGACACTTCGAAATCTCCATAGACTCGCCATTCCACATCCTCTCCTGCAAGGCCACCCAGGCCAACATCTACCTACCAGCCTACACGACTCCAGCCGAAGAACCCGCTCCCCAAGCCCAAGAATTCGAATGCGGATGCCCCGGCGCACCGCTCGCACCTCGAGAGCAACTCATTGCCCCAGCCACATCGGATCGCGAAGACAGCAGCCCAACACTAGGCATCATCGCCCGCCGAGGCTCAACAGGCCACAGCTTCTCCCGCAGCTTCACCAACGACTCCGGCGGCCTCGCCCGGCCCCCACAAGCACACCTCGCAACGCCACCAAATGACTGCAATGCACCCATTCCACCTCGCCCAATGCATCTGCTCCGTGCGCCATCCTACGCGCCCCCTGCTTTCGAGGACGTCCCTCCGGCGCCGCCGCTTGTCACCCCGCCTCCAGAATACGATACCATCGTCGGGGACGACCGAGAGGCCGTTCTCGAGGATTATTTCTCCCGTTTATCGTTCTACGAAGAAAACGAAGATGATGAACGCGGTCGTGGCCGCGTCGATGTACCCCTCACCCCGGGTGGACGCGTCAACCGCAGCATGGACGTGCCCCGCGAATGGGTGCGACTCGAAGACTATTTCCAATAATACCGCCTCTCCTTAATTTCTTTTGAAAAGGAAAGCTATCACGAGGTCCGAATCATGAATTTACGCTATTGTTCATACTGGGATTGGTGCCGGGCACATGTTTTCCAGCGATGCTATCTATCCTTTAGACCTGAGTCTGAATCTGAGTCTGACTCTCCTTTTCCTTCTTCTTCTTCTTCTTCTTCTTCTTCTTCTTCCTCTCTTTGGGGTTATATTTGGAATTCCTTTCTTTCCATTCAACAGCGCTTTGTTCATCATTTGTGCAGGACCGGCTATATTTTCGGTGGTCTTGATACTGGAGTTTGTTTTTCCTGCGTTGATCGGGGGCGAACGGCAAAATGGGTCATTTAGTCAGATATCTTATATGGATACATGTAGTAGACTGAACTATGATCAAGTATCAGAACTATGTAGAAATAAAAGAGACTCCAACTGGACAGGCTCTGGAGATAAGAACTGATGCCAGCGATAAGGCCAACCTCGGAACGCATCCACCTGCCTTACCTGGTTTAGCTCTCCCCACATTCCAAGCTCGTCAGGTTCTCGAACTGTCACTTTTTCTTTTTCTTCTCTCCTTCAATTTCCTCTTCAATCAAAGTACTTGCGGTGTCTTGCCCAAGTCGCCCCCCTCCCCCCGAAGAAGTACAGAGCCAGGTCCTACAAGATCGTACTTCGGGACTTTTGAGACAGACTGGCCGATTGGCTCACGCTTAGTTGCATAGGTGAGTTAACGGATGTGCTATAGATGGACGGAAAGCAAGCAAAGAACAAGTCTGACTACTTTCAGTGAAACAAAATCGGCTCTCATATATCCTCGATAACCGCATTCTTCAATCATCCGACATAGCAGGGCGTAGGGCGGCTTCCCGCAGCGACATCCGATCCTTACGTCTGGAGATTTATCCGCCCTGCAGGCTCCCCAAACTGTCATCATGGCTGTTGAGGTCGTCCCTCTTACCGAGGCAGATATCCCCGGCGCCATTGAAGTAATTCAACGAGCATTTGCAGACGATCCCTATTTCAAGTGGGTCTTCGATTCATCCAAGGTACGTTCCATGTCGAGAAACAACTACCAAGAAAAAGAGAAAAAGAAACGAGGGGCCCCATCTACTCCCAATCATCAGGCTAACATACATATCTCTCGTGACGCGGTCAACTTGACCGATAGTTACGTCTCCTGAGAGATGACTCCATGTATAGTTCAACAAGCAAAGAAACTACGATTCCCTTGCAGCACGCTGCGATTGGGGAATCAAGAATGCACTATTCCACGTCGCAAAAGAAACCCGAGAGCCAGACTCCAAATCCCACAGCACCTCACTAACCCCAACCCCAATTCTCGGCGTCTCCTGCTGGCTACCGCCCCACCCATCTACGCAATCAGAGAGCTGGTACTCCTGGTTCCAATCATGGACCCTATCCTTCAGGCAAATGCTCAACAACATCCGGTATTTTGGTCGCGGCGGGCTGCGCACGAACAGGTACTGGATCTGGAAACAGCGGCAGGCCGAGGCGCAGGCTGCTATCTGGGATGATCCGCGCGGGTACTATTTCTGCAATATTGTTGCTGTTAGCCCCGAGGCGCAGGGGATGGGCGTTGGGAGGCTGTTGTTTGAGGCCGTTACGAAAAGGGCGGATGACGAGGGGGTCAAGTGTTATCTTGAGAGCTCGAAGAGTGTACCCAATGTGGCGATCTATGAGCGTATGGGCTTTCACATGAGTAAGGAGATGGAGTGTCGGGATGGGGTGGATGCTTGCATGGTATGTACATTGTACTTGTTTTGTTGTGTTTGGTCGTGGGGCTGGGATTCGTTTGGGCTGTTGCTGACTTTGATTGTTGGTAGTTGTACTGCATGGTCCGGGATCCGAGGACGGAGTGATTCTACGTTTTTGTTTTTGTTTTTGCTTTTGCTTCTATGACTTGGCTTGGATATTTGGGTCATATTAAGATTTTCGCTCATGGCCAAATTGGGAGTACCCCATGGAACACTCCAGAATGACACTCCAAGGAATATGAACAGGCATCCTTTAATTTAAGGGTTTCGCATATTCAGCAGATCTTTCCTGGTAATCTGGAGTCCAGCCCCGTTGTAAACCAGCCCCAACGATCCGACCCACCATCTCCCAATCCACAAACGGGGGAAGATAGCTCGAATCTAATCGAATCTAATATTTGCGGAAGTGTGGTGCCATAGTGGTCTGCGAACATCCACACTAATTCGTCCGTTTGCAATGATCCAACACGGGGAATGATCTATCAACCCCTCAATTGGATATTTCCGTACGCTAGGATGCTTGCATGTTGATCTATTTATATTCCTGCACCGAGACGAGAGGGGCAGAAGTCTCTGTATCCACATTTTAAGCTTATCCAGTCATATTCGTGTTAATACGCCGGAGTTCGAACGGCCTGGTTCTCCGGGAAATCTAATCATGCCGGATTCTGGGTGGTGTTTCAGATCTAGTCTGGTTTCAATATTGCACGGACTGGTCGGATTCTTGCTCGTTGGAAATCCCCTGATTGTATCGAGGGTCGTGCGTTGACCGCGGACATATATATCTGGGATTGGGAAGGGACCCTTAGATTTGAGGACGACGCTTTTGGATAACTCGGATAAAGTCGTTACCGTGCTTGCTGTGCGTACTCCTCCTAGGGCATACATAGATACTGGACAAGCTGACTTTCCTTCTTTAGCGTGATTGCTTTGGTTGTTACCATGTTTCTCCTTCTTCTACGAAAGCTATGGATCCGAAGACGAAGATTAGACACCGAGAAGTCATCCACTTCCTCAACTACGTCCCACGAGCTCAAATTCCAAGAGAAAGAAGTGCATCTACCCGAGATAACAATGAGCACTGCACCACAGCATGACGAAACAGACCAGATTATCAATCAATTAGCCACCCTTGCAGCTACCGTGAGCAACACATCGAACAACAGCGTCTCATCATCGACTGCTGGCCCCATATCAGAGCCCCAATCAGCAGCATCCAACCCTGAAACAGAACAACCAGAAGAAGAAGAATCATTCTACCATCTTTGCAGTCTGATAACGGTCTCCTGTTTGCCGCAGCATTCGCCAAGCCATACACCAACTCCCTCAGCCTCAACGCTAGGCTCTAAATCAGGGAAACGCAAAAGTCAAATCTTTGATCGGAAGAGAGCCTCATCAATTCTAAGTTTACATCTTGGTGATCTACCGAGTTTGCCGTTTTCCTCGAAAGGGAAGGTCTCGCGCAAGCCTTGTCCGAGGTATACTCCTCTCCCTCCGCCATTTGTGCAGAAGAGGCTCGCTATTCGGCCTGAGGTACGTTTCTAAGGCTCAGGGTTGGGTGAAAGGTGGATTTTGATTGGGCTGTTTTGCATGCAGGCTGGAATTTTGTTTTATTTGTGCTCTTGTTCTATGATATCCAAGGCGGGGATATTGTCTATTGTCTATCATATCATGTTTATGTACTGCTGTTGGCTTGTTTGCTCTAATCAATTCCTGGTTATACATGGAAAACATCTGGGCATTTATCCTTCTACATGTCTGCCCCGTGCTATTCTTCCCATTTCTGGCCGCACTTCTGTAGCTCATTATTATCCTTATACCTATAAATAACTATCTATAATAATGAGAAGAACATATATCGAAGAAAAGAAAAAATATAGAAGTGCACCCCCATATATCGGATAACTGATCTACTCGTTAAGGACAGAGGCCGCGTAAGGGCAGACTATTCTTGATATACCTCGGTATCGATGATGGTCTACAGCGCAGGAGTATCTACCCAACCTGTAGTTACATATGTAACTTCACGATCTATACTTCAGCCCACAGCGCAACTCTACTATCTATCGATTTACCGAGGTTTAGTTTACCAAAGAAGAGGTAATATCTTCTCTAAGCGGGTCATCTATAGGCCATCCCGGCAGTCGCTAACCTTGGAAACTCGTCCACCCACGCTAACACGCAAAACACATGACGTACCCACACACGCTTTAAATACCCTGCATGGAACCGAAGCCGAACTCCACTTTCGCCGGGCCAACTTGCAAAAAGGGAGCAGATCGTCGGGGTCTAAAGGCTAACGACTCGGCATTCATGTTGGGTCATGGGATCTTTCTATATTGTACTTGGCTCAGTGGGGTGTAGAAAACTATTTCGGCACTTGGCCGCACGGATATATAGATAATCAATCGTATTGTAATAACATGATTGGTCGCCTAGAAAGCTCGTCGAATGGGAATCATTCCAGCTATAGCCTTTCTATGTATCCTCTATGGATTAGGTACCTACATATGAACTGGACTTGCGCAAACCATTGACCTGGCATCAGACGGGATAGACGTGAACGTGAATTGTGGGGGGTGGGGGGGAGGGGCGAAAATGGCCTCGAGATACGTACGGAGTACACACTAGTTGTCTATGTGCAACATACGTAATGTTAATGGATTTCGACACCATAGAACGATCTACAGACTTCACATCGCCAGTTTATATATGTGATATACATAGTAGGATTCCGTATATGACTTGTAGACGGGCTCATCTCCGTGCCAGACGAGACAATTGATGTTCAGTGTGATATTCGAGCTCGGTAGCGGCAAACCATGAAACGAGACGGTCGAGCTAGTTTAGACTGGTGGAATTGTCGGGATTTGCCCCCACTGCCGAGAAATTCCCTTGTTCTATTATTCATGACCAATCTCGAGGTTACGCATCCCAGGCACGACCCTCTTGGAAGAGGAGGGTATGTAACCGGTTGTGGCTTCGGAGTTCCACCCTAAAACTCCATTGGCGCACAAGCTGTTGTTAATGCTGCTGGTGATATTGTTTGTTGACGTTTTTTTTTTTGGGTTATATTATATTTCTTGTTGGATTTGGTTGTGTTCCTTGGATTGCTAAAGTTGATATTGCGCCTAACCCTAACAAGGTTCATATCGGCAGATCCCTTGTCCATAGTGGAAAGCGTAGAGTCGCAGGTCAGTGGAAACACCTAGTGCGTGGATTATGACCAGAGAATTAAGCTGGGGAAGTTGGCCTTTTCGAGACCAATTACCATTTGTTACCAACTTGACTTTTGAGAGCATCCTGCCGTTGAATTTTGATTGCCGACTACCTGCCCCTAGTATATGCACGAGACCTAGTCAAATTGAAGAGAACAACGACTATGGATACAGAAGGGAAAACTACAAATAGGATCACGAAGATCAACAGCCCCCGCGCGGAGGAATTTAGATTATTGTTTCGTTGAAAAAGAGAAAGAAAACGTTCCAATTAAAACTATTCAGCGATAACAGATGACCCGTTATATCAACGAATCGCATGGTTTCCGGCCCAACTCAGTTCGTCGCCATAATACATATGTATCCGGTAAAATAGGGACAAATGAAGTAGGAACAAGTGTTCGCAGCCGGTTTTAATATTCTATTCGGATATTGTATTGATGTCTAGATATACCCGAGTCGACTGGTCTTCTAGAGGGCACTCAGCCATACAGGTCTAGATGCGCAATTTCCCCCCAAAGGATGTGAGACCCCTGTTGGTGGCTCAACCGTGGAAATGATAGACATGTCGCCAATGTCACAATCACGGCTAACAAGCTCCTCGTCCGTGGTTATCCGTGCCGCGGTCATTGAACTATTAAGCCATGGTAATCAATTGGTGTTTGGTATTTATGAACACGTGAAAGAAAAAGCCACGTTGGCTCAGCGAAAAGGCGTCGAGCATGGCATTTCAGATATTAGCTGATACAAAGACCGTGTGCGAACTATGTGCCAACATACCTCTGATTTGTATATTAGAGGCAGAGCCATAATATAAAATAACTAAAGGAAAACCCGAGCCAAAAGAGGAAAAAGTAAACCGTATACAAACCGCCTTGACCTTCCATAGATCATTATCCGTTCCACTTACCCGATTCAGCCGTCGGCATGGTTTCCATAATCTTCAGGAGTGGGATAACAACCTTGGAAGACTTGGCTTCCGGTAATTGTGTTGTACTCGTCCCGATATGCACAATGATAGTAACATATCACCTGTGGACAGCCTATTATTTCACGAGTACTTCGATACGGTCTCCAATAAGCGCCCGACACGGCACATAAGCTCATTCACCACCAACGCCTAAGCTATTTTCTGCGATAATTGACGGAAGCCAAGCAAACAATTAATATGTACAGAACAACGCAATGGCCTGTTATTATATTGAACCCACCAGATGGAGGAACGCGCAGCCTTGGCGTGGAGGAAGAGAAGGGAAAAACGACGGAAACTCTAATAGTCTGGCTCATTTCCGGAAAATCCCCGAACTAGTGTAAATGGAAAATAAAAATTGGGAAATATGCATGTGTGAAACGGACTGAGCACACATTCACCTGGACTGGTTCCCGGGCTTTCCCCTCGATGAATTCAATTGTACTCCATAGTTCGACCAGGAATGAGCGTTCCAATTCCAAATAATTGCAATAGGCCATCCATGGATCCTACATTCTAGTCTCCACTGGTTCAGCTACCTAGGTACACCAGTGGACGGACGCGTGGACCGCCGGTCCCTCTAAGGCTGTTTCGGAAAGCCATCTATCAGCCGGGGCTCCACTACCTCGGGTTCCTCGGGTACCAAAGCCCCAAGTTCTTATTATCCATGGAAGTATTTCCCAGGAGAAGGAGCCAATGGTTTCTCGGGGTCTCGGGGTCTTTCAGGCTTGGGGTCTTGGGATGCTGGGGTCTAATTTATGACATAAATGTTCACCCCTCCATGTATATTTGACCGTTGCCGACCTTAGGTCCATTACAAAAGTCACACGTGGCATCGTGCATGGATGCGTGGGCTTATAATATAGTGCCAGGGGGGAAAGGACCGGGGGGGGGAGCACGGTGGAAGTAAGGTGAAAATGACGCAAGTATAGATGAAAAGAGTAAGCTAACTTGGGTAAAGAACACGAATAGCGAGAATGGAACTGTATAGCATCCCTGCACGAGGAATGGGTGCGCACTATATCCAATCTCTACTTCTTCAATCAGCGACCCCGGAGCAGAGATTGCGTGGTCTTTTTTGGTGCTGGGAATCCATAGTTCCATGCCCGGTAGTACTCTGTAGGGCCCAAAAGATGGCAGAAATGGAGATTCCAGTTTTTCATATTTCGTGCGTCCTATCATGAAAAAGCATGAACTCGATCGGGGAGAACATGCAACCGTTGTAAGCGGACCAGCCGAAGCTGCAAGGGATATTCGGTAGGTACAACTTAGTGACCCTACTGCCGGAACTACATGACTCCTGCATTCAATGCTCATTGTGGGTCATCGGTACCTAAATATCTCTCAAGTCACTTGGTATCATAGGTTATTTTTATTTTCATTTTAGGGCGGTTTCCTTTCCACACTGTGTTTGGGGCAACCCCTTTTCCCCCTGGCCTAGGCATGGCGGAATGTGATGGAAGAGAGAGCAACCACGTTGCGCATGTGGCCCTCGGAGAGTTAAATTGAATGGATTGAATTGCCTTTCTGTAGGAAGTTGGGTCCGAACGTTGTTTAGAGCCAGTCAGAGAAGTCGAAGATAATATATCCGTTCCGCGTGCATGAGCGTTTCAACAGGCATGTGATTTATGGACTATATTGAAAATTGGGTGAGGATTACTTGTACAATATGTTTTTCACCTTCCTGTCCTTCGGAAGTAAAGAGCTCTCGGGTCATAACGAGATGAACCAAAACAAATAGATCTCGGCTTTGAAGTGAACCATAGGGCAAATCCCTCCATATTGGAAACCAAGGCCGGAGTATCAGACGTTCAGTCGTCTAAGTCTCATATATCAAAACCACCAGACGCCCAAGCAAGATACCAGACGCTAGAAAAGAAGAAAAAATACAACGAAAACATAAACGCCCCCGAAGCCAATAAACATCAACGCAAAGCAGCCAATAACCCAAAGTATCGGAAAACGCATCCACCGTGAAGCAAAGTTTAAACACAATTTGCCCCACAACTCCAAATAAAAGCAGAATTTTAGAAACTTGTCGATCATAGTCACATAAAAATGGGTTGAAATGTTTTTCAGAGAGCCGCGTTTCTCGGAGTGTCGGCTCTGCCCGAATACATAGTTCCTGGATGGAGTATTGCACGCCAAGAACAACGGACAGGGGGAAGCGGGATGGGAAACTTTAGAAAATGGGCTTGACCGAGTTTCAGATGCGAAAATTCTATTTCGAGTACCCTGAGGCCCAACGTATCGAAAAATGGATCATCGAGCAGTCGAGCAAAGTACACATTTGCCCACCACCACAATGAAGCGGTCATGTGGGCCATCGTTGCAAGTGCTATTGTCTTTTGTTCCCT